TATGCTGTCTAAAGAAGGCATTGGAAATGAACAAATCATTGGTTTTGCAGAATTCTATCATGCGTTCTCCAGCATCATTTCTATCACCAAGGCCGTATTTTCCAACTACTGATCCTTCCTCTTTGCTCCCAACCTTTGCATTCCAATCACCAGTAATGATCAATACATCTTGATTGCATGTATGATCAATTTCAGATTGAATAAGTTGGTAGCATCCTCACTGGCTTTAGCAGTTGGTGCGTAAATTTGAATAGTGGTATTAACTGGTCTTCCCCGTAGACACATGGATATTATCCTATCACAGACAGCGTTGTACCCCATGACTGATCTGGAAAAATGAATGCAACACCATTCCTCTTCAATTTGTCATTCCCGGCATAGAAACCATGTTGTTGTCAGATTCAAAATGGCCAATACCACTCCATTTCAGCTCACTAATAATGCCTAAGATATCGATGTTTATGCATTCCATTTCATTTTTGACAATTTCCAATTTTCCTAGATTCACACTTCGTACATTCCATGTTCCAGTTATTAATGGATGTTTACAGCTGTTTCTCTTCATTGCCCCATCAGCAAATAAAGGTCCCGCGGGCTTTACTCCATTCGTATCATCACGGTCAACTCTACTTTGAGGAGGCAGCTCTTCCCCGGTCGCATTTTGAGTGCCTTCCAACCTGAGTGGTTCATTTTCTGGCACTGTATCTGACAGTGTTTCTCTGCTCTTCATAAGGTTTTCAGTGACTAAATATTCAGAAGTAGTTCTTCTCTCCTTCTTCCTAGTGTATGTTCGTCGTTTACCATGATACAAATACATAGGTGTGCTCTTTTACACGTCCTGGTACACAGCTAATATCCAGTCCCAGATGATGCACAAAGGTGAGGGAACGAGAATAAGTTGACCACTGCAACAAATTCAATCAAGTTACAACTACTGAAAGTGCCATGGGCTGCCAAAAGAACCAATAGATCTGTTTTGGAAGAAGTACAGACAGACAGAGAGCTCCTTGGAGGCCAAGATGGCCAAACTTTGTCTCTCATACTTCATACATATTGTCAGGAGGGACCAGTTGCTTATCATGTTTGATAAGGTGGAGGGTCAGAGAAAAAGAGGAAGACCCCCAACGAGATGGATTGGCCAAATGGCAGCTTCGATGAACTCAAGCGTGGCAACAGTAATGAGGTTGGCCCAGGATTGGACAGTGTTTCGTTCTGCTGTGAATAAGGTCGCTATGGGTTGGTACCGACTCAATGGCACCTAACAACAACAACAACTGTGTAGTATTTACCTGTAATATGTTCTGATTTAAAATTAATTATACATAATATTTGTAACTTTGACTTTAAAAAATATATGGCATATACATGGATGCAATCTAATATACATTTAATAGTACTATGGATAATAATTTAGTAACAATATGGCAAACATAAGAAAATACTGGAAATACCAACATTTAAATAGCAAAAATTGGTAATTCATGTATCGTTTCCATTTTTACTGTCTGTTGTGCAGTGCTTGGTATTACTTTACATATGCTGATAAATGAGGTATTAGACATGTTGTTCTTAGTGCCTTTGAGTTTGTTCTGACTCACGGTGACCCTGCATAGGGTTTCCGAGGAACGGCTGGCGGCTGTGAACTCTGACCACAATCCAGAGCTCACCCTACAAGCGCCACTCCACAACTCCATTAGGCATGTTAAGAAGATACAAAATTCAGTATTTACTGTGCAAAATATGATTTTGCTTTGCAACATTGCTACATTTAGCAACAAAGGGTATCAGAACATTACTTTTATACTCGATCAGAATATTTACATATCTCCATGTAAGGAAACAACTCCTTAAAGAAATGAATTAGATGAATATCTAGATAATAAAAACTATGTAAATATATTCTGCCCTTTCCCTTCAGATGGACTTTATATGTAGTTTTTAATTTGGGAGTAGAACAAGTCCATAAAGAAATAAAATGTCAACTCAAATTTTGTATATAACAACAACATATTTTCCTTTTCATCTTAGACTGATAGGGTATAATCTCACATTCATTTCCCTCTCATCAACCACCGAAAATTGCACTAGCGGGAGTGTAATCTGTGTATCTGGTTCCTGCACAAAGTGAACCAAAACACGCCTGCTGATTGTGCACACCCTTGTATTGTAGCATGCTTTCTGCCCTGATGGGTTATCAGCAACAGAAGCAGCAACAAAGGATGGAAAGTGAGCGAGTAGGTGTTTAAGAATTATCTCAAGATGAAAAATGCTCTGTGAAGTGCCAGCTAACGAACACTGTATGACTATCTCAGATCTGGAGAACAAAATTACATGTTCCAAATAAACTTCTTTACTTAATAATTCTCAAACATAAATGTGTGTGTCAACATCTAAATTCTAATGTAAATTTTATTTGATAAATTTTACTTGGTTTATGTATTTTATTTTCAATTATTCTAATTTATTTGCTACTGTAGAACCAAATTTTTTAAGGAGCATACTTTTATATCCAAGTATAAGGCAATAGCAACAACTAAGTGTAACACACAAAAATGAAAGCTCCATAAGAGAAAACGGATTTGTGAATTCCTAAGATAATTCTGGAAGCCTGCTGTGGCGCTGTGGGCTAATGAGTCAGACTGCAAAGTCCGTTTGAACTGCAAGGTCGGTGGTTCAAGCTCACCATCTGCTCCTTGGAAACACTGTACAGGGTCGCTATGGGTCAGAATCGACTCTACACCACTTAACAAGAAGAAGATAATTCTAGAATGAGTTTCCTTTTTAAAATGGAATGAATCAGCTGAAAGCCTGAGTTAACGAGTACAAACCAATGTAAGAGTATTGCACAGACCTTTAACAGCCATTAATGGTATTTCCTTCATTTAAAAGAAGATTCTGAAAGCACAACAAAATGAATACCAACAAATACTGATGAGCAGGCAGTTGACTACTGCAGAAGCATTAAAAAGAAATCAGCAAATGATGACAATGCTGTGGAAGTCTCAGTGAGGGCCAGAGATCAAGTCTATGGGACCACACACCACACCACCACTGACACACTTGAAAATGCTCTGGAAGTATATCAGTGAGGGC